TATGCATACATGTGAGACCTCATGGTGGAAGTTTAATTTTACGTTTATTTTATTATAAATATAAACTAATTGGGTTGCATACTGATGCCGTGTAAAAGCGGTTCGATCCCTTGGGGAGTAAGCCACTCTATCCTTTCGTCTTCTCTCCTGACTGTCTTGGTTTCAACTTGTTAGACTTGTATTAAGAACATTAAGGGTTAGCAGATAATGTTTTTCGGCATTATTACACACGTCTTCCCACGTGTTCTCTCCGCTTAGATGAATCTTTTGAAGCCACCACTACATGTAAGGTTGCATAGTTCATTAAAATATACTAGAAACAGTTGTGAGCCGAGAACGGAGCCCTGTGAGACGCAGTAAACAATTTTTTCTCCACACTAAGCGAGTTTCTATTTTATCTTGCTGTTTCCTACATCGGACTAGTAAGCAGATTATGCTCTGCAGCTTATACTGCTGAAAATGTTGGAAGTCTTACTAGTGTTGAGTGATTTTGCTATGGGGAAATGCGACTGATTTTGAAACTATTTTTGCTATGCAAAAGTGAGGCCAAATGAGCTATTTATATCCAAAAACCGAAGGAGTATTATAAAGGCTAAATAAATGTATTAACTTTGGTCTCTCAGTGTTAAATAATACGCAATAAAATATTGTGAGCTATGGTACCTCAGATGGTTAGCGCTCGGTCTAAGTTTCACAGTACGCAAGCAATCCGGAATTATTAACTATTTGCCGGAAAACATAGGTAATAATGTGGTAACTATCAAGACAGACTTCTAGCAGAAAAGGAGTCCTACGACTTAATAGGCTTCTCACATCGAGGGGATAATTTTTTATAATTTAATAATCGCAATAGTAATAATAATCTATAAATAATCGCAAATAATAATCTGATAATCGATTATAACAAATAGAACAAAACAGAAATAATGAATATACTGCATCGCGTACCTGGTCTGGGAATTTGTATTTGGTATAAATACGAGATGGTTCTAACGCAATTTATTGGAGGCCATAAAATCTTCTGAGCATTCTTCTAAGTCGCTTCATACGATACTCTTGGGATAATACGGGCTGATTATTTCGCCAAAGCCGCCTCCGCACAGAAAATTTTAATTTACGGCATTAGTCATTTACGAATAATTACAATTACTTTATTATAAAATGTTATAATTTTTTGAACAAGACCGTTTAGATTTTTTTAAAGATTTTTGCCAATTCTTCTCTAGAGAATAAGTGTATTTGTTTTTGTTTATTATACCTAAAACGTTTAATGTACCACGATCGTAGGCCGGGATATACCACGCTCGCAGAGAATACGCGGCGCAATACAGTGCAACTCAATGTAAAATAGCAATAATGTTGCTGTATTTCATGTGGTTGAGTGCCAAAACTGGAGACCCTATTTATTGGAAATGAGACATTATGCTTAAGCTCTTAGGCGCGAAAACGCATATGCATTCTGATTAAAGCAGACTTTATAAAAGAAAGAGATTCTTTATTCATTTGATTGTGTTTTCCTCTCTTTTTTTTGTATGTATGTTACGCGATATCTTCGTCAATTTGGACCCAATTTAATTATTTTTATAAAGGTTATACTTCAGAAGCATAGATTATTGATAGGTCATCGCGCGCTCTGACTAGATACCGCTGGCGCTCATGTAAAATACGGCAACAAATATTACACCAAAATCGACGTACCCGAGCCAGTCGCGTTGCAGGCAACGTGTGAGGTGAACGTACGGAATGTTTTATTAAATTAAATTTTGATCATAATCCGAATTAAAATACAAGTTTACGTATTGAAACTGTGTAAAAATAATACTACAAGAAATAAGAAAGACACAAGAATCACATAATATCATTAAGTATCATACAATTTCGAAATTTTAACATAAAATAACACGAGCCATAAATAAGTCACAAAATATCAATGACGCTATTCAGTGTTGCCGCGAATGCAAAAATAAAGTTCCCCGTGGCTGATTTTTTTATATGTGAATTTATTGTTACTGTTACTGCCTACGGCTGCTCCAGCAAAGGTCAAATCCTCTGGAGCCCATGAGCAGAAGACTTCACGAGCAGACGCAGGTTGGGCCTCAATATGGCCGCGTGGAATTTCCTATCACAATAAACTATATGGGAGAAAGCTAGAAACACATAGTACTTACCATTATCCGAAGCTAACTTCGCACCAAGGCTTGGGCAGGCCGTGAGTATGTGTAATAATAGTGGATGGCGAGTAGTGTACAGTGAGGTGTAAATGTCTGCGACCTGAGCAAGCTTAGGCAACCAGCAGCGGCCGAGTTCCAGGCTGCCCCAAAATGCTGCATCGCTCCAGCAGGCTTCATCGCTGGACCATTTCTTTCTTCATTGTCACTAATTCAGTCTCTCAGCTTCATTGTACCTTTAACTAACTTAAATTGGCCTAATTTCACATTCATCGTAGAATAGAACACGTGATACCCGACAGATTCAGCGTTAAATACAAATAAGTTCCTTCGACACCAAAAAAACACGTCGCGCAAGATTCAAAATACGCCTCGTTGACACGCGAATTAATCTAACTACTTATAATGATATCTTGACAATTAACCGGGAGAAGCTCTCAAACAAGGAATGCGCGGCTCGAATCCTAAACCGTATATCTACTAGACGCGCGTACACTATTCCGCACTCTCGCACGAGTTAAATATCGCACAATTCACATATCTACGTGACGAAGAAGCATGTACTTCATCTAGCTATCTAGATCCACCACGGGCCGTGAATTTAGGTAAGAGGACCTGACGGTTTCCCCGCCTCGTGTCTGGCGGGGCACCGACCTTTAGCCCACGCGTCGAGCGACTGACCGCCACCCAGCCGGGCACGGTCGCCCCACCTCGGCGCTTATCTCACCTACATAACATCGGGTGAGGCGCCAGCTCGAACGCAATTAGGTGGCGTTATGTTATGGTGATTAAGATGTTATGGTGGTAATGACCAAATTTGGGCATAAACAGTTACTATATTTTATAGTATAATATAATTAACTTATTATAATATAACCTAACTCTATATTATTTAATGTTTACTTCTGTAGTATTGCTCAAATGACATAATTGCCGTTTATTAGGGTTTCGTACCCAAAGAATATCAACGGGACTATTGTTCCGTCTGTCTGTCAGTAAGCTATATCTTATGAACCGTAAAAAGTAGAATTTTCACAGAATGCGTATTTATATTACTGTTAAAACAACATAAAATAAAAAGAATACAAGTAAAATATTAAAGGACCCAATAAAATCACGTTTCTTGTATGGTCTTCATATTTTCTGTATTGATATGTGTTTTGTTTACAGACTAAAAAAACGGCTGGCATTGATAATCAGAAAAGGAGTGGTCTTTCATTATTATAACGCCAGATCACAAGATTAGTTATCTGTTTGAGACTTTCAATACACAATAACATTCCTAAAAATCCAGTATTTGCTTGAGTACTTAAAACTGGTTTAAAAGTTTTGGTCATTATTTTCTTTTGTTGCTTGTGTTCTTTAAAAGAAAGCTTTCTGGAGGTTTTAATATTTAAGTTTATAATTTTTTTTCCATTAAAATTGGGATGACTAAATCCATATTCCTTCAAGTCGCTCGTATTGAATATATCAAATAAAACTACTTCCCGCATTTTTTTTTCATCAAAATCCCAAGATTTCTACAGCAACTTTTATTTTTTATTATGTCACTACCTACAAGATGGTAACAAATTATCGAACAGAATGCACCCATATATATTATAATTAAATGTAATAAAACTTTAAAACAAAAACGTCTTGAATTTGTATACAATATACGAAGAAACTTTTTCCCCGGTCTTATATACTAACTAAAGGTGTAACAAAATAGTACTTAATAACTTAGGGAATGATTCTGCCCGTCAACATGAATATTTTTTATTATGGGATCATTTCCGAAATTTTCAATTTATACGTGATAGACCCATACTGCAGCTATATTAGTGGTATAGTTGTAGCACGAATGGGTCAGCTCGACCGGGGAAGGACCACGCTCTCACAGAATACCAGTGTAAAATAGGAACTTAACGCTGCTGTGTTTCCTATGGTGAGTGTAGAGAACCGGAGACCCTTTTTACTGGAAACGAGGCATTCCATATTAGTCCTCAGGGGTTGCAACGTATCTGCATTTTGATTCTTAACCGAGGATAGATGTATATGTCTATGGGCCACAGCAACCACTTACCATCAGGTGGACTGAGTGCTCGTTTGTCACCCTCATTCTATAAAAAATATCTCAAAGTCAGTTATTCCATACAAAATTTCCTACAAACTTGCTCAAAATTTATGGATTGCTGATTTTTCTTGCGATTTGGAAGATAGATCTATAGTAAAAGTTGTTCATATTGACGCGTAGAATAGAAAGCACTATTTTTATTACACCATACATATAATCTTTTTTTTAAATAATTAGTGAATATTAGTTAGACATGTAAATAAAAAAATTAAACTGATAAAAAGGAGGCCTTATCGTTTATATGTCATTTATTCAGTAGAAAAACCTATACTTACATAATATACACAAATATATTGATACATTCGTTATTAATAAACTATTAATTTTTATGTATTTCTGGAATACATTCATAACTATTGTAAGGTTTATGATTAGTTATATTATTATGATTATATAGAATCCTGTATGTAATGTAAGGTTTATGATTAGTTATATTATTATGATTATATATAATCCTGTAGTTATTAAGAATTATTATTAAGTATGAAGTTTATATTGTAAAACCATTAAAATATTATTGTTTATAAGTTGCTCAATTGATTGATTTTAAAGTCACGTGACTAAGCCACGTGACCGGCCAAGGGGGGGATAGCCGGATGAGACATGCAGAAGGGAAGGCGGGCAGTTGAGGAGCAGTAGTCGAATAAGACGCATCAATGTAAAATTGGCAAATTAAATCAGAGTGCGAATAAAGTTAGTCCGTTTAATTTATACATCTGACACCCAAAAGTTCAGAAGTGGGATACAATAAGGCTCTAGAAAACTACCCTTACTACGTCCACGGCTCGAAAAAGCTTTCAGTTACGCTCAACTGTGACATGGAGGACGACACTAGCCGAGGGGAAGGGTCTAGTGCTCGTCTAGTAAGAGGAAGTGGCTCAATGATAAAAGGAGCCCATGTGCTTAGTCGAGGGGAAGGACTAACACATGGGAGTGACCAAGGAGCGTCCGAGGTTGAGGATGTAGGTCAACAGGAAAGGATTAGGAGGATGAGCTCGAGGATAGAGCAACCGGTACCATTGGATAAAATGGACAAGGATACAATGATTCGTAGAGGACGGTCGCATGGAAGGCGATCGAGTGGACGACGATCGCGTGGACAGCGATCGAGCGGACAACGATCAAGCGGCTCTGACGACAAGGACGAATACGAAAGGCGGAGACGGAAAAGGACAAGGACAGGACAGAGGAGACGGCGTGCGTCTTCCTCTTCAGGATCTGATATGGGGTCACCGCGGCTTCCATGCAAGGTTAAGCGTGGTAAGGAGGACAACGGATCGGATACGAAGGTATTATTAGATAAGTTCTTGAACATTCTTGACAAAATGAAAGGTTCAGATAGGCCCAAACTTACGTTCAACACAAATGTTATTCCCGAATTCGACCCAATGGTAAAGGAACAAACCATTCTTACTTGGCTAACGAAAGTGGAAGAATGTGCTCACATATATGGGTGGGAAGACAGGGAAATTATCCACTATTCGTTACCCAAGCTTTCTGGTGTCGCTAAAACGTGGTATCAAGGCTTATCTAGCCTATTATTTACCTGGACTGAGTGGAAAAAAAAACTGATAGAATCTTTTCCCCAAAGCGAGGACTATGCTGAATTATTGCATAATATGCTAGCAAAAACCGTTAAATACGGTGAGTCGCTAGAACACTACTATTATGCTAAAATAAACTTGTTAAATCGTTGCAAAATTTATGGCAAGGAAGCGGTAGACTGTTTGCTCTATGGGGTTGAAGATCGTGCCGTTAAAGTTGGTGCTCAGGCCGCTCAATTTAAGCAACCTGAGCAAGTACTCAAATATTTTAGGACCGTGAAGGTAGGCAAAGTCCGCGACTCCAGTAACGATGCCAACCTGAAAAAAACAAATCAGTCTGGCACAAGCCGGGCGGGCCCTAGTAATAACGGAATCCGTTGCTTCAATTGCAGCGAAATAGGTCATCCTAGCTTTAAATGTTCAAAACCTTTCGTGAAGTGTACGACCTGCGGGAGGATTGGTCATCAGGCGATTAACTGTTTTAAAAGTAAAACTCCGTTTAATAAAGACGATAGTCAGGCCTTAGATAAAAATAATGTACAAAAACAAGTATCTAATGTAACTGTCGATGATCACGCTATTGATAAGTATATACTGGATATTAAGATTAACAACTCGGGGGTCAAGTGTCATGTAGATTTGGGGAGTCAATGCTCGTTAATTAGACATAGTACCGCTAAGGATTTGAACCTGAATATCGATGTGAGGGAAGGTATGCCAGTATTAAAGGGAATAGGGGGGAACCTGACTTGCCCTTTAGGTGTAGCTACTGTGAATGTAGAAGTTCAAGGGTTAAAAGAAACCATTGAAATATATGTAGTGGAAGATTATGTACTGAGTTACTCTGCGTTACTTGGACATTCCTTTACAGAAAAGCCTGATATTATAATGACTAAGACTCCGACTGAGAGCGTATTTCAAAGACTCACGTGTAATAAAATAAGACTCGTAGTGGAAAATGATACGGAAATAGATGGTAACGTTGTACGTCCCATAATTGTTAATGCTAATGGGCAGGCAAACTGTAGCATCTACGTCCATGGCTCGTTAAGGGGTACTGAAGGAAAAGAGTACTATCTTTTTCCCGGTACGTACGAGATAAAAGACAACCGCACAGCGCTCTTAGCTTATAACGCCTCTTCAAACAAGGTTTGTATAAAGAAGGACACTCTCTTAACACGATCCATGCTTAATACGCATCCAACACCGTTTCTCCAATCTTGTAGCGTTTTTGCCGATAAGGGACTGGACGGAGAGATCAGTTGCAATCCTGAGTTAACAAAACAGCAACGTGAAGAACTACAAAAGGTATTACTTCAGTATAGCGATTGCTTCTCAAGTGGGCTCAAGGACCTTGGGTTTACCAACATCACCGAGATGGTGATCGACCTTGACGACGCGGAGCCAGTCGTGTATCGCCCATACCGTATGTCACATGCTGAGCGACAATTGGTAAGAGACATGGTTAAGGAGATGGTAGATAATGGTATAGCTAGGGAGTCATCTTCATCATATGCCAGTCCTATAGTTCTGGTACAAAAAAGGAGTGGTGAGAAACGATTGTGTGTGGACTATAGAGCTCTTAATAGAAAGACCAAGAAAGAACACTACCCCCTACCAAGAATCGAGGATCAGTTGGACTTGTTATCAGGTAACACCTTATTTACGTCTTTGGATCTCGCTTCAGGGTATTATCAAATACCGGTCGCCGAGGCCTCTCGTAGTAAGACTGCCTTTGTAACACCTGATGGGCAGTATGAATACAACCGCATGCCTTTTGGATTAGTTAACGCACCATCTGTGTTCCAAAGGACAATCCATAAAATATTAAAGGAGGCCCAAATTAAATATGCTATTGTCTACATGGATGACATACTGATACCATCCAAGGATTTTAGGGAAGGCATCCAAAGACTAGGCGAGGTTCTACAACTTCTGAGGAAAGGCGGACTCACACTGAAATTAAGTAAGTGCCATTTCTTTTTGAATGTTATAGACTTTCTAGGGTTTGAGGTAAGTGCTAATGGGATCCGCCCAGGTAGTAAAAAAACTGAAGCCGTCTCGAAATTCCCAACACCTACCAATCAGCATGAATTGCGCCAATTTCTGGGTCTGTCTGGTTTCTTCAGGCGTTTCATAAAGGGATATGCCACGATAACTGCACCATTGACGGATCTACTGAAGAAAGACGCTAACTGGAGTTGGAAACCCGAACAGGATCAGGCATTCACAGGCATTAAATGCGCTCTGGTGGAGCGACCGGTGCTGGCTCTATACGACCCTAAGTCCGAAACCGAGCTACACACCGACGCTTGCAAAGAAGGCCTAGCAGGTATTTTACTGCAGCGTAACTGCAATGGCGCGTTGCAACCAGTTTCCTACTTCAGCAGGAAAACTACCGCTGACGAACGCAAGTTTCATTCGTACGAGCTTGAAACTTTGGCGGTTATTGCATCGCTCAATCGATTTAGGGTTTATTTGGTTGGAATACCATTTAAAATCTTGACAGATTGCAATGCACTCAGGTCCACTCTAACTAAACGTGACTTGATACCTCGTATAGCTAGGTGGTGGGTCCAGCTTCAGGAGTACGACTGTACAATCGAGTACCGGCCTGGTGCTCGCATGGCACACGCGGATGCCCTGAGCAGAAACCCAGTGAATTCTCCTTCAGGTAATACACATGTACTAGACATTTTACAAATACAGCAAGTTGAACAGGACTGGATTGCGACGGTACAAACTGCAGATGACGAGGTAAATAAAATCAAAAGCATCCTTTCCGACCCATCATCGGCGGAGGTATCTGACGTACACAAAAACTACAGACTGAAGAACGGTCGTGTTTACCGCGTGGTAGGTGACGAGATAAAATGGTTGGTACCCAAAAGTGTGCGCTGGCAAATTTTAAAAATGAACCATGACGACGTTGGCCATTGTGGTTTCGAAAGAACGCTACAGCGAATCCGAGGCCATTATTGGTTCGCAAAAATGCGGCGTTTCGTCCAAAAGTATGTTACCTCCTGCCTTGAGTGCGCGTACCACAAAGTTCCAGGAGGTAAACGAGAAGGAGAGCTCCACCCAATCGAAAAGGTGAGTGTGCCGTTCCATACAGTCCACGCAGACCATTTGGGACCGTTTGTTAAAAGCAAGAAAGGCAATTGTTATTTGTTGGCCCTAGTTGACGGGTTTACAAAATTCGTTAATATAACCCCGGTAAGGAACACCAAATCTAGTACGACCGTGCGAGTTCTAAAAGACCATGTAAGTTATTTTGGTGTCCCTACTCGTCTCATTACAGACAAAGGTACAAGTTTCACCAGTAAGGTATTTCGGGATTTTACGACCTCTTACGGGATCAAACATATTATAAACGCCGTAGCAACGCCTCGAGTAAACGGGCAAGTAGAAAGGTTCAATAGAACGATTTTAGATGCTCTATCGACAGCCAGTCACGGCGGCGACGACAAGTCGTGGGACAACCACATCGCTGACATACAGGTTGGTATGAACACAGCTCGACATAAAACTACCCAAAAGAGCCCTTCTGAGCTACTATTCGGGTTCAACATAATTAGTAGAACAGAAGGCATACTTAGTACGGTAATCAATGACACCCTAAATAGGACTCCCATTGAGGATTTGGCAGAAGTCAGACAACAGGCTAGTGAAAAAATAAAACACCAACAAGTTAAAGATGCAGCCAATTTTAATAAGCATAGGAAACCAGCAAGGCAGTACCAAAAAGGGGATTTAGTACGCTTAGCAAGGCAGGTTCCGCACGACGGAAAGTCTCAAAAGCTTTCTGTTAAGTACCAAGGCCCTTATCGTATACTAAAGGTCCTTCCCAATGATAGGTTCGTGGTAGAGGATACACCAATGACCCGCAAAAACGGTAGAAGGTATGAGGCTGTTGTATCTATTGATAAGGTTCAGCCTTGGATGTCGTTTAGTAGAGAATCAGAGTCGGATGAATCTAGTAATAGCGGTGGTGACAGTGATTAGATACTTGATTGCTCAGTTAATGCTAGTTAGGCGGGATGGCATTTAGTTACTTATAATATAATATATATAGAGTTGCTGTAAATTATATTTACATTTAATTAAACAGTATTCCTTTACATAAAATAAATTAACGGCAACATTATACTACTAAAATGTAATGATTTAGGTATACATGTACATTTCCTTTACAGATGTATTACTTATGAAAGAAATTGTTATAGAACATAAAAACATGTAAAATGAAACGATTAAGCGATAGATATGTGTATTTACTTGGTATTTCCAAAAAAAATCCATGTAATAATATTATTAATGTTTACAATCACGTCATAAATAAACATAGTGTATAACTACTTATATAACTGATTTATTTGTAAGTTGTTTTGTTTATAACATATATATCTTTGTTTTTGTTTTTTTTTTATCTTGATCTCAAAGCAAAGGGTCTCGCTTTAGGTAGGATGGCCGAGCTGTAAGGTTTATGATTAGTTATATTATTATGATTATATAGAATCCTGTATGTAATGTAAGGTTTATGATTAGTTACATTATTATGATTATATATAATCCTGTAGTTATTAAGAATTATTATTAAGTATGAAATTTATATTGTAAAACCATTAAAATATTATTGTTTATAAGTTGCTCAATTGATTGATTTTAAAGTCACGTGACTAAGCCACGTGACCGGCCAAGGGGGGGATAGCCGGATGAGACATGCAGAAGGGAAGGCGGGCAGTTGAGGAGCAGTAGTCGAATAAGACGCATCAATGTAAAATTGGCAAATTAAATCAGAGTGCGAATAAAGTTAGTCCGTTTAATTTATACATCTGACACCCAAAACTATGAACTTAACTACTAAGCCATAGCATAAAATAAATTTTACCGTTAATCGAGTAATAGGTAAGTTGCTGGTATATACAATTTTTCACGCACACTAGCATCATGCAAATTGTCTTATACTCGTACACACTACAATATTAAGATGCCACAGTCGTGGAGCTGTTACTTGCACGGTATCTAGTCAGAGCGCGCGATGACTTATCATTAATCAATGTTCAGAAGTAATTAAACAAAAATTTCACCTCTAAGGGTGTTTCTAATGTAATTAATTAAGATGACATTGTAGTTGTTACATTGGGCTTCTGATATTACTTACTCCACTCAAAAGGTTAAAAAAATTAACTTCTAATAAAAGTATAAGGTGAGTTTAAAGAACTTAACAAAATAAAATAATTTTCACCTATTGGCTTCAGAATTCGGGCTTTTAGTTATTTTATGCGCTGTGTTTTAACGCCCACGTCTTAAGCTATAATGCGGTAACTATTATATTCTATTTAGTTTTTAGGACTCTTTACCCAAAGCGTAATCAACGGGACCCTATTACTAAGCCTCCGCTGTCCGTCCGTCCGTCCGTCCATCCATCCGTCCGTCTGTCTGTCAGCGCGCTCTATCTCATAATCCGTAAAAGGTAGACAGATGTGATTAATAAATACACAGAATGTGTATTTCTGTTGCCGCTATAACAACAAATAAAAATTATAATAAAATAAAAGTTAAAAGGGGGCTCCGCTACTAGAAACGTGTATTACGATGGGATGGAACACTTCATGTGCGAGTCCACCTTTTCAAAAACACTAAATAGAACTGAATATGTCTAGGTCTCATTTGTCTATGAATATGATTTTCATTTACCTTCAGGTGAATTGCTTACTTGTTTATTAGTCTTACTTTTACAATAAAACTGGACAAGTGGGAGTAGGACTCGCGTGCTGAGGGTTCCGTATAGATTTTATTATGATGAAGATAGTTCATCGATAGCGGTAAACATGGTCAAGGTACGTTTGACACTGCAAAAGTCGGATTGAAGGACCAACTTAAGTTTCAAATGGAAAATAGTTTCTCCCATACATCGATTCATAACAATTTAAATTTACGGCATTAGTCATTTACGCACAATTACAATTACTTTATTATAAAATGTTATAATTTTTGAACAAGACCTTTTAGAATCTTTTTTTAAGTTAGAATCTTTTTTTAAGTTTTTTGCCATTTCTTCTCAAGAGAATAAGTATATTTGTTTTTAGTTAATAAGTTGACGAGCCATGTTGCAGTTTATTATACCTACAACGTTTAATGTACATCGATCTTTGGCTGGGATATACCACGCTCGCAGAGAATACGCGGCGCAGTACAGTGCAACGCAGCGTAAAATAGCAATAATGCTGCATTATTTCATATGGTTAAGTGCCAAAACTGGAGACTCTATTTATTGGATGTCATACACAGCATTTCAATTAGTCCGTGATCACACTTCAACAACATTTTTTACACTAATCAACTCTAGCCCGTTTATGTTCTAGGGTGAGTTTATGGTAACAGGCATCATGTTTTGTAATTTTTAAGTATTGATATTATGGCGGGTGGAGTGAAAAGCGGAGATCTCCCGCCGGGCAAGGTGTTCTGCCCGGCGAGCGGCCAACGCTCCGAGTGGTAGTTCGGAGCTATTCTATATATACTGTTTCAATTTCGGAACTTTGTTAGCGCGATTTAGGCTTCGATATGTTTCGCTTGTGATACGACGCAGCGCCGCCACATCATAATTTTTTTTTAAAATTTCAGTTACCAGTACCCAAATGTCCTCTGATTATATGTGATACGTCTTCACGACCTTCACGAATTTCATCATGGGGCCACACACGGCCATGATCAAATTCTGCGTATTGATACGCAACCTTACAACGCTCAACTTGAACTTTAAAATTATAACTTTTAAAATCATAAAAATCATCGCCCTACAATATTTTCGCGTCATTTGCATTATTGCTACGGATGACAAACTTCATTTTGTGATAAAAAATTGACACGCAGGGCGCATGTCAATTTTTTACCCCCAAAGAATATTTTATTCAATATATGTCTTTCTCTTTTTAATATAATATTTGAAATTCAAACATTTTAAGTAACCTGGGTCATAGAAATTTCAGGGAGGTGGCTGATGGCCAAGAATCATTCTCATTCAGTCCCCTCAGTGTCACCCACTATCCCGATAATACCGACCACCCTCATGACGTGCTAGACTTTGCGCTGGTTAAAGGAGTTTCCCTCAACCTCAGGGCAATCGAGACTCTTGACGATCTAAGATCCGACCACCGCCCGGGCACACTCATTCTTGGCCATCAGGCATCTCCCTCAACCCCCTCCACAAAAATCTTCACCAACTGGAAGGGCTTCAAGGAGTCCTTAGCAAAAACTATCAAAAGCGACAGTCCTGAAACAATCGACACCGCGGTCGATTTTTTCTCCACACTTATTATTTTGCTTTTATTTTATGAGTTTTTACTGTGTTCATTAATTTTTTTTCTATTCTAAGAATAAAATATAATACTATTTTATTCTTATGGTTATTTTAATAAAATACGAATATAAGTAGTAAACGAAATATAGTTATTTCTTTCTTTGTTACAGCATGTAATTTTTTTTGAAAGAATGACATATGCGTCGAGCTTACCCGACGGTGCGAGGGTTCACTGTCCACTAATATTTACGCTATTTAAATAATGAATGCTTTTATAAAAATGCGATAAAAATAAAAAATTAAGAAGAAATCTAACTTGCCGAAAAAGTAATGCATTTATTTAATAATACTTGACAATAAGTTTTATTCATCTTGTTCCTCTTTAATTTATTTGTTCTTGTTTCAGAAATAAACATAGAAGCGTGAAATAACAATAATACAACTTTGTATGATACTGATATTCTCATCAATAACTTAAATTAAGTTTATTTTTATGTGCATACATACGAATTAAAAATATAATACCTACCATTAAAAGAACATGCACAAGACAATTGGTAAAATTAAAAAAAATGTACAACTGTTAACTCAAAAACTACTGATCAGACCTTGATCAAATTTACATGGGACCTCATGTGGTCCCAGAAATCGGTACACCTAGAAAAAAGTTATGAGACACATTAAAATAAACATACAGTCGAATTGAGTTCCTCCTCATTTTTGAAGTCGGTTAAAATGTCGCATGTGGGATTTCTATCTTAGCCCTCAGGGGTGACAACGCATCTGTAGCCTTGTTTGTGTGAAGTTGGCTGCAAGTGTCCATGGACTGCATTAGTCACATACCATCAGGTGGACTGTACGTTCGTTTGCCACGTTAGTTTTATTAAAAAATTACTTTGATGATATACGTTACAATGCTTTATAAATTAATATTTTCCTAAAATATCAGTTTTTGCAACGTTCAAAACGTTTATAATTTAATGTTTTTATATGTATAGCATTATATTGTAGAATATTTTCTTTAAGAGGATTTGGAAGTTTTGTTTTTTCTTGCGTTACGGAAAACTGATAGTAGGCGTTGTTTAAAGGAAATTCACTCATATTGCTACGTCATCATCATCATCATCATCATTAACATAACAGCATTCACAAGTCCACTACTGAACATAGGCCGCCCCTAAGGAATGCCACAAAGCACGGTCCCAAGCCACCTGCATCCATTGACTTCCTGCATGTCTCATCAGGTAGTCATTCCATCTAGTGGAGGGTGCCCTGCACGTCGCCTACCAGTACGAGGCTGCCATTCGAGAATCTTTCTTCCCTATCGGTTGTTGGTTCTTAGAGCTATATGGCCAGCCCATTGCCACTTCAGCATACTAATTCTTTGAACTATGTCGGTGTTACACTAGTTCTACTTCTGATATCCCCGTTTTGTAATCAACTACAAGCACCTATTATTTTGTTTCTTATTTTCCTTTCCTTACATTGTATTATACAATAGGTAATGTAAAACACAAAATTACCTTTTAGATACTTTAAAATACCTTAATAGAAACATAAGACATGTTTCTTAGTTTTTCGTCCTTACTAAATCAACTTTAAAACTTTTACAACTTTACAAAAAGAAACGAACTTCTTTACATTTCCTTTGATCATTACGAGTACAAACTACATGATAGAAATCAGAGTCGTGACTTAAGAT